GCTTTGGGAAATGCTTAATGTTCATCCCTGGACTTTTGTGGAATAGCAATCTGTCTCGTCTGGAACTTATAATGTTTATTTATATTTTATATTTTAATAAAGCTTCTATTTATGCCTTCAAGATGGAGACATGATGGGTGGCATGCTGGCCTATTCAGGGGAAAGGCTTCATGAGTTGCTAACAAAAGGCTGAGGTTACAAGAATCAAGGCATTTAGGATGCAGATTTTTTTTTTTTGGATGCAGATTTAACCTTATAGGTCATAGACATTATTACACAAGAGTCTAAATATTTGGAAATAAAAAACCATATGTTTTTCTATGAGCAACAATAACCAACAACTCATGAAATAACACAAGAGCTTTTCTCTATTTTATTTCTATTTTTATTTTTATTTTAGAGACAAGGTCTCATTTTGTTGCCCAGGCTGGAGTGCAGTGGCCCAATCATAGCTCACAGCAGTCTCAAACTCCTAAGCTAAGCAATCCTTCTGCCTCAGCCTCCCAAATAGCAATGAAACCCAACCGTCTCTCTATTTTTATAACTTAAAAAAATATTTTCCTTACCATCTTCAATGTTTTCAGCCTGAAAAACCATATCTATTATTTTAACTCAATTAGGAAATATAATTAAATGCTAAAATGTTAATATTTATGATTATAGTTTATTTCTATTGTTCTGTGTAATTTTGTTTTCATATTTTATATTCAAATTTACACAATAATATTTTATATTTTTCTATAGAATTATTAAATATAATATTAATAGCACATTTTAAAGCCAGTTGGCTATAAAGCCATGATTCAAAGTTCCCTAAACAGCAATCTGTGTGACAGCATGCTAGGTTATAATCTGTCAGGAAGCCAAGAGGCCATGAACAAACACTTCCCGGAAAGTATTTCTAAATGGTACACATTGACACATAAGATGTTTGAGAAAAAAAATTGGCAACAATTTCACCAAGCGAAAAGTGTTCTTGTTGTTGTTGTTGCTTTTTTTCTTTCTTTCTTTTATTTATTTATTTAGAGACAGAGTCTCATTCTGTCGTTCAGGTTGGAGTCCAATGGCAAGATCTTGGCTCACTGCAACCTTGCAACCTCCACCCTACCCACTGGGATTCAAGTGATTCTTCTGCCTCAGCCTCCCCAATAGCTGGGATTATAGGCACACACCATCAAGCCTGGCTAATATTTGTATTTTTAGTAGAGACGGGGTTTTACCATGTTGGCCATGCTGGTCTCCAACTCCTGATTTCAAGTAATATGCCCACCTTGGCCTCCCAAAGTTATGGGATTTTATGCATGTGCCACTGCACCCAGACAAAAGCATCCTTAAATGTAGTAGCTTCTGTTCCTCTTTTAGTATGATTTTCCAGCATTTGGTCTTGATAGGGAAAGACAAAAAGATTTGAATAAATTTAGTATTTGATAAATACTAACGTGTTTATTTTATAACTTATAATTCGTTACTAAATGAATCTTATTGCATATGAGATAATTTATGATTTACTTTTGAGGCAGACTATAGATGGCAGACTAAATATGAAGAAAATTCATCTCATCTGGTCATCTGTCAAATGTCTAGGGCTGTTTTCTCATTGTCATTGGTTTACTTCTGTATAAGAGACCAAGGCAAAATGAATAACTCCTGGAAAATTTGAAAGAGCTGTTTATCAAATGATTGAGACAATCTTGGGCTATTTGCCCTCAAATCTTTTTTTTTTTTTTTTTTTTGTCTCTCTCAGCTCTGCAGGATGAATTTCCCTGGATTCAATGAGATCCGCTTATGGAAAACCAGGAGAAGCCAGAGTATATCTCATCCTCCCCCTGCCTCAGCTACTCCACCACTTCCCCATCCCCCCACCCATGGCTCTAGCTCCCACTAGAGAGGCCTACTGAATTCCAGCCTGTGTCACATTATCCTGACCTCTGTACTTTGACATCATCCTACATTCTTTATGTCAATTGCCTACAGATGATAATTACTTCAACCATTTCTATTATCTGAGTTATTTCACCATTCTCTCTGTGCCTCTATCACCTCTATCATCAATTCCTTACAGCAATTCTTCTCTGTTGTCTTATATATTCTTAAAGTGGTTTTCGTTTTCTAATTTGGATACTAATATATATATGCATTTCCTTGTTTGTTTATGTCATAACTTACGCTGTGTCTTATTCCAGAAAAGGTTTAAAACAATTTGGATAAAAATGTAAAATATAAGAAGACATATGTCAAAAATCAGTAAGTAGATTTTTTTAAAGCTGGGTGCAAGGATAAACTAAGTTAATTTGTTGTAATAATTTCAGTTATAAAGTTAAACTAGCCCTGAATGGTGACTCACATCTTTACTCTCAGTGCTTTGGAAGGGCAAGATGAAAGGATTACTTGAGGCCAGGAATTCAAGACCACACTTGGTAACGTAGCAGGAAAAAATAAAAAGAGCAAACAAACAAAAAACAATTGAAACATTATCCAGCCATAGAGGAGCGAGCCTGTAGTCCTAGCTACTGTGGGGGCTGAAGCAGCAGGATCGTTTGAGCCAGAAGGTCAAGGCTGCGTTGAGCTATGATCACACCACTGCACTCCATCCTAGGTGACAGAGTAAAACCTAATCTCTATAAATAAATAAATAGTGCTAAAACAATGCACACTAGACTTTGGCAGTCAATGGTTCTTACATGTAACTCTAACCTTTCTAGTAGTAAGTATAAAAAGGGAAACATGATGAGCTTTAAAATTCACAGGTAGGAAGAGAAGAGGAGAAGGAGGGACTGAAGGAAGTAACTGCTGATTTAACTGTTAGGATCCACTGTTATTTGTGACATCTGATTAAGGTACATGTAAGGTTTTATCTTTTTTTAATTTGCATTTTCTAAAAAGAAAGCACTTAAGCATTCATGTGGCCATCTAGTATTGTTTAATTCTCTCATATCCAACTGCTCTGTAATATTCCTGGAATTGATTCAGTCCAAAGAGAGCTTTCATGATGTTTCCTGGTCACGATTGGATTCTTCATATCTAATGAGTTAGTCAAAGTTAGGCACAGCCGCACCAGACCAGACATATTCTTTTCTCATAGAAAGCTCTCTTCTTTGGAAATCTATGAGTAACTTCCTAACACGGACCTCAGTGCAACCAACATTGGCTGTCAAAATGTCGTAATGACATTGAACATTATATGTACAATTAGTTTCATTGCTTCTAAATGATGCAAAATATTTCATAGTGTCCACAATCACATATCTTCTATTCATTCTCCAACAGTATTTTCAGCACATTACTTTTGTGCTCTGTACAAGTACGTATTTGGGATACACACCTAGAATTCATTTCTCACAGGCACAGAAGCCCCACAGGAAACATTTACGATCCCTAAATATAGACAGATTTATTTCCAAAATGGTTTTTCTCATTTATGTTCCCCATGATAATAATTATATTTTTATTTTTCCACATCTCTGCCAATGTTGCTTTTATCTGATTTTCTAATTTTTACCTACTGAGATTGTAAAGAGGTATTCCATTGCAGTTTCACTTTTCTCTGATTACTAATGAGTTTGAGCATTTTTTCATATGCTTTTACATCAACTATAATTCCTTGTAAATCACCTGTCATCTTCTTTACCAAATCTTATTAGGTTTCCTTTCTTTCCTTTGGAAGTTAACATGAGTCATTTTATTTTATATATATATATATATATATATATACACACACCAAATTAAAATATGTTTACCACATTTTAAACTTTCATTTGGATTGTTAAAAAACAATACAATTATTCTAAATTTATATAAAAATACATATATGGTAAACAGGTCCATTTAGAAAAATAAAACAGATGGCGAGATGCTGCCAATTTTTAAATACATTACATTGTTATAGTAGTAGTCACAATATTATAGGAACAGACAAGTAGACCAATTAACACACATAACAAAGAATTCAGTAAAACACCCATTTCTATACAATATCTTGATATACAGTAAAGGTGGCACAAACAACCTTGGGGAAGTGACTGATTCTTTTTAGAGAGGATGTCAGTAAAATTAGCTCACTAATTTGTATATTAAAAAACAGAAACAAAATAAAACAAAATAATCTATGAGGTGGCATAATATGCTATGTTGAGGTGGATTACAGATAGATTAAAAATCTAAATATGGATGAAATCACCTTAAAGCTAATAAAAGTAGGTATAATTAACTATGGTTTTGATAGTTGTCAGAAAAGAATTCTTCAATAACACCAAACATAACAGAAGTTTTGTCAATTTGCCTGTATTCAATTTAAAAAAGATATTTTCAATGTTATAGTAGGAAAAAATGTAGCAGAAACATGGCAGGGAGAATTTCATAATGTTCCAAATCAACATTATGTGTGTGTGTGTGTGTGTGTGTGTGTGTGTGTGTGTATACAACAAACATGCATGTATATATTTTTTACTACACACACACACACACACATACACACACACACACATATACTTATATAGTATTTCTCTTCAAGAGGAATAATCTGGCTGAGTGGGTAGCTCATGCCTGTAATCCCTGAATTTTGGGAGGCCCAGGTGAGTGAATCACCTGAGGTCAGGAGTTCAAGACCAGCCTGACCAACATGATGAAACCCTGTCTCTACTAAAAATACAAAACATTAGCCAGAGGTGATGGCGTGCACCTGTAATCCCAGATACTCCGGAGGCTGAGGCAAGAGAATCACTTGAATCCAGGAGGTGGAGGTGGTGGTGAGCCGAGATCGCACCACTGCACTCCAGCCTGGACAACAAGAGCAAAACTATGTCTCGAAAAAAAGAAAAAAGAAAAAAAATACTATTGATCTGGTTAGGCTGACTTTCTAAGCAACAATCTTGCCAAACTACTTTATTTATTAAAATAATTGTTTTTTTTTCTGTTGAATTTACTTTTATTTTGACAATTATGCAATCAACAAATGAAGACATTTTTTCCTCAACCTTTTCGTGTTCATTTTCTCACTGCTGATAAAGACATACCCAAGAATGGGTAATTTAGAAAGAAAAAGAGGTTTAATGGGCTCCCAGTTCCAAGTGGCAGGGAAGCTTCACAATAATGGCGGAAGGTGAAGAGCATATCTGACATTAGCAGCAGGTGAGTGAGAATGAAAACCAAGATAAAGGGGTTTCCCCCTATAAAACCATCACATCACGTGAGACTTATTCAGTCCCATGAGAACAGAAGTAAGAAACTGGCCTTGTGATTCAATTATCTCCCACCGGTCTTTCCCACAACACGTGGAAATTATGAGAACTGCAGTTCAAGATGAGAGTTAGATGAGGGCCCAGTCAAACCATATCACTCTCATATCTCAAACTTTTTTTTTCTTCTTCTCTAATAGTTTTGATAACTGCACAAAACACTATTGATGAAAATAGGCATTCTTTTGTTTTTAAATAAAATGTATTTAAATGCCTTCAATTAAATATAACACTTGGTATAGTTCTCAAGAATATAGGCACATTCTGTAGGGATGCTTCTTTCTATCACTATTTTTCTGAGTTTTTAATTAAAAAGTGTGATATTTATTCTTCAGAACTATTGAAGTGATAGTGTTTTTTATTATGTGGTTCTTCAATGTGATGAATAATATTACACATTGATTACCATTTATTAACATTATGAGTAGAAGATAACAGATACAATTGAAGCTACATTGTTGGCTAGGGTAAATACCCAAGGTTCGTCATTTCGTACTAAGGGAATTAAGTAGGTGGACACACAAGAAGTGGGTTTGGGAACAGAACAGAAGTGCCGCC